TGAGATGGAGTCTTGCTCTGTCACCCAGGCTGGAGTGCAGTGGCCTGATCTTGGCTCACTGCAACCTCCGCCAACCGGGTTCAAGCAAATCTCCTGCCTCAGCCTCCCGAGTAACTGGGATTACAGGTACGTGCCACCGTGCCTGGCTAATCTTTGTATTTTTAGTAGAGACGGGATTTCACCATGTTGGCCAGGATGGTCTCAAACTCCTGAGTTCAGATGATCCTCCCACCTTGGCCTCCCAAAATGCTGGGATTACAGGCGTGAGCCACCACACCCAGTCGAGATTTTAATTTTGTTAGGGATATAATTCTCTTCTTTCTCCCACCCCCTCCACCCACTGAGATTGAGTTAATGTGGTATTTGTAGTAACTTAACTCTTCTCACAGACAGTGTTTCATTCTGACCCTAGAAACACAGGTAGATGAGCTTTAGTTGCCTAGACCTGGGGATTAATAACTCATTTGGACTTAGGGATATCAAAAGATAATATTCAAAAGAACCAGAAGTAAATAAGCTCGTGTAAGACTTGGGAGGTATTGTAGAATGAGACTTGGAAATCAAATCCTATGTTCTTTTTATTAATCTCCTAGTTTGAGAGTATAACTAAAACAAATGGTTATTGGCTGTCTTACCAGTTTATCTTTGTGCCCTGATTTGCCTTTCAGAGCTAGTATAAGATTTGCCCCTCACTTTCAAATAGCCTAAGAATGAGCTGGGGAGACAAAGCTAAATGCAATTCCCAAGTTACGTGGAAAAATTGGAAAACATTGAGCTCAGTCTGACTTTGTTGTTGTTTGCATTTTTGTTTGAAGGAATAGAGGGTTCATAAATCTTTTCTGACAGTGTGAGGAAACCTTTAGACTCTCTCTCAAAAAAGAAAAAGTACGCAGTAAACTTTGCATATGGATCATAGTTCCTGAGCCCAAATGTGGATCCCTGTGGTTAAGAGTGCCTGATTTAGGTCGGGCACAGTGCCTCATGCCTGTAATCCCATCACTTTGGGCGGCCAAGGCAGGATGATCGCTTGAGCCAGGGAGTTCAAGACTAACCTGGGCAACATAGCAAGACTTCGTCTCTACAAACAAAACAAAACTGGGTGGGGTGGTGTGTGCCTTTGGTCCTAGCTACCTGGGTGGCTGGGGTGGAGGATCGCTTGAGCCCAGGAGGTTGAGGCTCCAATGAGCTATGTTCGCACCACCGCACTCAGCCTGGGTGACACACAGAGAAAGAAAGAGAGAGACCCTGTTTCGAAAAAAAAAAAAAAAAGACTGGCTAATTTAAAAGTGTTCCCACAAGTGGTCCTGATAAGGAGGCGTGATAAAGGAAGCCTCAGTGTGTGTTAGAGTAGTGAGAAAGCATGGTAGAGAAGTAGAACCTGAGCTGCAACTCAGCTAATGGTAGAATTTAAGTAAGCAGAGGATTTTGAGCAGGATGTTTCCAGCAAGGGGAAGCATGGCATATGCAGCAGTAATTGGAGAACTGCCTGATTAAAACAGAGGCTGTGTGTGTAGCAGAAGAAAAATAAAGTTGGCTAAGGGCAGTGGGCCTAAATTATAGGTGGCCTTGGAAGCCAAGGAAAGATATTTAGCATGATGGGGTAGGCACTGGGGAACCATTTTAGGTTTTTAAAGCAGGAGAATGATATAACAAAGCAGAGACAGTAGCTTATAAAGAAATTCTGCAGGATTAGTTGAGAAGTGAGGAGACTGCAGGCAGAGATGCCAGTTTAAGAGACTGTTATAATAATCAAAGGCTGATGTAACAAATGACTGAACCACAGGGGCAGCAGTTGTTAGCAGTTATTAGGAGGTGTTTAATCTGACATATTTGGGTAGAAAAACTATGGACCCTGAAATGTTAACACTTCTCTCTCTCCCCTTTTATTTAAAACAAAGATAGGATTACTTTTTAAATTACTACTTTCTATGTAATAAGATATTTGAAACTATTTGGAATGTTAAATGACTTCCTGAAATGGACTGTTGATAGTTGTTTTTGATACAGTTCAGCGTTTCAAGAATACTACTTTATGGCCAGGCGTGGTGGCTCACGCCTGCAATCCCAGCACTGTGGGGGGTTGAGGCGGGTGGATCATTCGAGGTCAGAAGTTCGAGACCAGCCTGGCCAACATGGTGAAACCCTGTCTCTACTAAAAACACAAAAATTAGCTGGGCAGTAGTGGTTTGCGCCTGTAATCCCAGCTACTCGGGAGGCTGAGGCAGGTGGGTCACCTGAGGTCAGAAGTTTGAGACCAACATGGTGAAACCCCATCTCTACTAAAAATAAGAAAATTAGCTAGTCATGGTGGTGTGTGCCTGTAATGTCAGCTACTGGGTGGCTGAGGCATGAGAACCATTTGAACCTAGGAGATAGAGGTTGCAGTGAGCTCATATCATGCCACTGCACTCCAGCTTGGGACACAGAGCAAGAGTCCATCTAAAAAAAATTATATATATGTAAATTATATATATATAATAAGGGTCTTTTAAAAGGCCCTACCTGTGTGTGTGTGTGTGTGTGTGTGTGTGTGTGTGTACACACACATATATAAAGATTATACATATGTACAGAGAATAATATAACAGACCTATATGTACCCATTATCCAGAATTAATAAGTGCTGTTTTTTTAATGTTTGTGTCACTTTTTGATTAAAAAGATAAAACGTTGAAGATACACTTGATATGTCTTTTGTCTCCATTCCCCAGACCCATTTTCCTCCTTGCCTGCTAAGAGGCAAACACTCTCACGAATTTGGGGTATTACCTTCCTATCTTTATGTTTGTTTTTTACTACATAAGTACATGCTCATAAGCAATATACAGTTTTAAAAGCTATTCATAGTATAACTCCAATATATCTGCAAGTTGTTTTTTCCCTCATTTGTGTTTGAAGTCTGTCTATATACAGCCAGTTCACGTATCTATTCATTTTTGTTAACGGTGAGAAGCAGTTCTGGGAAAAATGTTCTAGTTCATTTGTTTTTTTAAAAAAAACTCCTATGGCCATTAGGGGGTGCCAAGGCAGCATTATATGGCTGCTTGCTACGTGATGGAGAGGCACAGAAGGCAGCCTGTATTAAGGACCTTGGATAGTTTCCTTTCTTGCTACTTTTCCAAACGAAGACAAACCACTTGGGTGATCATCTCATTTGAAGTTTCACTATAGGGAGGCTAAGTAAAACTATACGAAATGGCTGTAACTTACTGCTTTCATATTCTGAAGATTCCCTGAAATGGGATCATCTTTAAATTTCATCCAGGAAAAGATTCTATAAGCTCATTGGAGTTAATATAACTTACTTGGGAACAGTAGCATAAAAATAAGGATTTACTACACAAATCCATGATTAATCCATCTCTCTTGTTTCCTTTTTTTTTTTTTTTTTTTTTGGAAACGGAGTTCCACTCTTGTTGCCCAGGCTGGAGTGCAGTGGCATGATCTCAGCTCACTGCAACTTCTGCCTCCTGGGTTCAAGCAATTCTCCTGCCTCAACCTCCCAAGTATCTGAGATTACAGGCATATGCCACCACACCTGGATAATTTTATATTTTTAGTAGAGACAAGGTTTCACCATGTTGGCCAGGCTGGTCTCAAACTCCTGAACTCAGGTGATCTACCCACCTCGGCCTCCCAAAGTGCTGGGATTATAGGTGTGGGCCACTGTGTCTAGCCCCTAACCCCCATTTCTTCTTTCCCCTTGCTCCTTATGTTTTAGCCACAGTGAGCTGGTCATGCCCTTGAGCATGCTATACCCTTTGTTACTTTGGGCCTGGGGTGGGGCAGGCAGAGAGAAGAAGAAAGCCTATACAAATATATTTATATTATCCCTTTTCTCCTACCTTCTTGGAAACAGCCATTGTTAATCTTGTTTTATAGGAATGCATACTGTTTATCATCCTCTGGGCATCGAAATTCCATTGAATGAGCTTTTTAGATGCAATAGTTTATCAACTTTGGAAAATAATGATGTTGTCCAGCAATATTGGGATGTTCACGTACAAGCTTTTGTCCAAAACGGCACAGTGAGCAAAAATGGTGAGTACTTGAAGTATGTATTTCTATACTTGGATCCTAATTTAATAGTAGAGTATACCAGGTAGCTTTCATTGAAGTTGTTATCTGAAAGCATTTATATGTTAAGGTTTATTCATAGCTTCTACTAGGCTATAAAGTTTTTGTAAATAATAGCAATTCTTATTCTTGTGGAACTTACAATTTAAAGTCTTTGGTGTACATGTTGTGGAGTGGTCTTTTAAAAGGCCCTACATATACTGTTCTCAGCTGGTAAAACCTAATCATTGTTTGAACAGATCTCAGATAGCTTGATTATCAACTTTTTAGCAGTTCTAAGACCAGAGCTTAGAAATCAGATTCATGTTCTAATCTTGAATTTTTAAAGTTGATTTTATAATTTTTACATAGCTTTATGGAAAGGTAATAATTTCTGATTTACCAGTTCCGGAAAACAACTAACACTTCCTAAAAAGAGGTTGAAATGTTTATGATTTGCCATAGGGCTAATGCAGATAAATGGTTCATTTGTATTTAAGTCCTTTGATGATTTCTAAGCTTTTTTCTAGTAAATAGTATCCTTCCTTGTGGTGGTTGTATGTAGGAATAAAGAACCAAAAGATTCAAGACTTATATCTCTGAATTTCGTATCAGAGGCAGGCAGAGTTCTTTGGGAATGAAATGATTTAAGGATCTGAAAAAGATGAGTATGTGGCCATGTGTGAGTAGGTAAAATATATGGCTGCATCCTGAGTTTGCCTGCTGTGTCCTAATTCAGGTAGATTGTCTGTATATGAAGCAGCAGTTTAGGAACTTCTGCCTAATTTAGTTTCAAATATCCTAACAAGGTATCTCTTCCCCTAATCCAACTCTTTTGGACTTCTATTATGAGAATTTTTTTGTTTTGTTTTCCCTGGCCTTGTGAATTAAGAAAAAGCCCACTTTAATTTCTTTTGGCCCTTTTTGCTTGTTTTAGAGTTCCTGTGTGATAAAGACAAAACTTCGACAGTGGTACCCACCATACACACCACTGTGCCATCTCCTACTACAACACCTACTCCAAAGGAAAAACCAGAAGCTGGAACCTATTCAGTTAATAATGGCAATGGTACTTGTCTGCTGGCTACCATGGGACTGCAGCTGAACATCACTCAGGATAAGGTATAAGTGTCCATTTTTGTCAATACATCCTTTTTGTATTTCATTTCAAATATTGTGTATCCTACCTTCAGCCCAAGGGTAGTGTTACTAGAATGATTCCGGTTTCTTTTTCTTTTTCTTTTTCTTTTTTGGTTCTTCTTTGGTTTTTATTTTTGAGATAGAGTATCATACTGTCACCCAGGCTGGAGTGCAGTGCTGTGATCTTGGCTCACTGCAACCTCCGCCTCCAGGGTTTAAGTGATTCTCCTGCCTCAGCCTCCTGAGTAGCTGGGATTACAGCTGTGCACCGCCATGCACAGCTAATTTTTTGTGTTTTTAGTAGAGATGGGTTTTCACCATGTTGGCCAGGCTGGTCTTGAACTCCTGACCTCAAGTGATCTGCATGCCTTGGCCTCCCGAAGTGCTGGGATTACAGGCATGAACCACCGTGCCTGACCCGATTCAGTTTTGGTTTTTTTTCAGATGTAGTCTTGCACTGTTGCCTGGGTAGGAGTGCAGTGGCGCAATCTTGGCTTACTGCAACCTCTGCCTCCTAATTCAAGCAATTCTCCTGCCTCAGCCTCCCAAGTAGCTGGAATTACAGGCGTGTGCCACCATGCCTGGCTATTTTTTTGTATTTTTAGTAGAGATAGGGTTTCACTGTGTTGGCCAGACTGGTCTCGAACTCCTGACCTCGTAATCTGCCTGCCTCAGCCTCCCACAGTGCTGGGATTATAGATGTGAGCCACCAATTCAGTTTTAAATGGAGATTTCATGTTGGCTTGTTGAGCCTGATTAGTTAGGAGTTGCTATAACCATGAAGTGTTAATGTCACTTTCAGGTTGTCTTGGCTAGCAGAAAATCTAGCAGTTTAAAGTACTCTTTCGGATTTGGATTCTGTTTACCATCAGTGGATCAGAGTACAAACAGTTGGCCTTTATTTCGGTCAGTTTAAAATATAACTTCTTCACACTTTGATCTGAAATGCACTGTAGGTTGGCATACAGGAATGGCACAGCTATCCATTTCTCCAGCTATTTGATGACTCGGATCGTGTAGATGTGTTCAAGTACATGATGTCACTGAGGGCATAGAGGGAGTGCCAGGGAACATCCGATTTCCAGGATCCTGTGACTTAAACAAGCGAGACAGATGGCTCTTGTGCTCCATAAAAATGTGTGTTTTTATTTGGCTCATTACTGTAGAAGCTTCCTTCTTGGTTTTTTTTTTTTTTTTTTTTTTTTTTTTTTTTTTTTTTTTTTTTTTTTTTTTTTTTTTTTTTTTTTTAAGTTGTCTGAGTCATAGCTTGAGGGCCCATGCCAACTTTGTTTGAAAGTTAAGACACCATGAATTTAAGTATCCAGACAAAAGATTTTTTGTTCTACGCTGAAGTTGGTTTTTTTAGAGTATAAGACTTTGCTGGCCACTTTGATAGCTAACCTGTACCTTTTCCCTTTCTTCTTCTCCTGAAGGTTGCTTCAGTTATTAACGTGAACCCCAATACAACTCACTCCACCGGCAGCTGCCAGTCTCACACTGCTCTACTTAGGCTGAATAGCAGCACTATTAAGTATCTTGACTTTGTCTTTGCTGTGGTGAGTAACAGATTTTTCTAAAGTTAGGTTCATTCTCTTAGAAACACATCTGAAAGTCTAAATCGTTGCATGGAGGGTGGGGGATATTTAGCTTTAGTTTCCAGTTCTACAGTACTCAATTATAAAGTATAGTCCATTCATCCCTGTTCATCACTCAGAGCCTGTGCAGTGGTCTGTGGACTGGACTGTTGCATTAATATTCACCAAGAGTGGCCATTTTGCCATTATATAGACTCTAGGGTAGGAGTAAGAATTAACTCACATCAAAAAAAAAAAAAACCCACAATTGTCTGATGTATCCATATATAAGTAATTTCCATGATAATTTTTCTGTTATTGGTTAGATATGCTCATGTTTTTCTATGATACTATTTTAAGCCACTTGGGGGCTATATTATTTGTAATAGTGTCAGTAATAAAAATAGGTAACATCTATTGAGTACTTACTATGTACAAAGCTCTGTGTAAGTGTGAGTATGAAGTCATTAAATCGGGACAATTTATGATGACAGTTTTCAGGTTTTTGTTGTTGATCAAGAGCTGGAACCTAAAAAGAAGGTTTTGGGTTAAGCATACCTGTGCTACTTCTTGCTAGCATAAATTAATCATTGGGACCTTCATTTCTACCTTCTTAGAAGCAATTATTATTCCCATAATTCTGTGAGGGGATGTATGTGTGAACATGTGGTAGCAAATGGGAGTGGTGGAATAGAAGATAGCTGTAAGTGAGGGAAACTGTTGAACTACCAACTATTCTCAAACTAAAAATATTGTATAATTAGATAAAAACCAATTCTGCTTTTAAATCAGATTACTGTGTTTGGGGATGGGGAAATAATCTCAACATCTGATATATAAAAAGTAGGTATGTTGCTATTTCATATGTGAACTTGGTATTTTGAGTCTAAAGCACTTTTTCCTCTATAGAATATATGCTGAGTAATTGAGGATTACATTAGGCAGTTATATTTTGGAAAGGCTTGCAAAAATCTTCCTTTTTCCAGCATTCAAATAATTCGTCTGTTAACATACCATATGACCAGTGAATTACTATTGAAAATGTCTAATTAAACTTGTCCTCTCCCGTATGGTAAAAGAAAGCTTCAGGCACATTTTCAAACTCCTATACTCTTTCTCTCTCTCTCTCTCTCTTTTTTTTTTT